AGTTTCTGCTCCGGGAGGAGGCGGTGGCGCGGCGGGCTCGCCGCCTGGGGGAGCTGAAGCGGGTGGGAGGCACGGGACGGACTTGGCCCCCGCCCGCCGCGCGGCCCAGGAGTGGATGTGGGAGTGGGAAGTCGCCTTGGCTTGGGAGGGGCGGCGCCTTCGTCCCCGCGCTGGGGCTGCCTCGCCCCCAGGACCCTGCCTGCCCTTGAGGCTCGCACCCTAGCCTGGCCCCTCGCTCAGCATTTCCCCACTCAGCGCCACTTCCCAGTCCGCAGGGAGATGCCCTCCACGTTTCCGCTTTCTCTGCAGCTTCTAGATTTCCAGATACGCCTGTGCGCCTTGCTGGGTGTGTTTTCCACAGCCCCCTTCCTCCCTCGGCGGGCAGAGCTGACATCACCCACAGAGTTTTCTGGCTTGGTGAGGTAGGGAGATGGCTCCCGGCAGGCCCAGAACACCTTTGCCCCCAAGGCCAGTGCGATTGGGGGATATTTCCTTGTCGAGGAAGGCTGATGCTCTCGATAACCCCTCTCACACGACAATTTTGCGGCGAGGTGGGACTGTTCTTCCTGGTAAGGTGACAGCTTTTGCGAGGTGCGGCAGCGCTTCCTGTTGTACAAGACAGACGTTGCCCTGGCGTTACATAAATCATCACGTCTCCCTCATTTGATGTAAAGAAAACCGACTTGCAGTCACTGGGTTAGAAAGGAAGGAAGATCCAATTCTAATTGGAAAAAAGAAGTTTTCAGGATATTGGAACACCGTTGCTAATTGTGAATGTTTTCATTAAAAAGTTAGAATAAACTTGGTTAGTTTTCTGTTAGGACCGATTTTGTAACTGGCTTCATTAGGCGCCCTTCATTAAAATAAAAATTCACATGTTAGCTCTCTTTGAGATCACGAATTCTCCTGGCTGGAGGCACAGGTTCAGTGTTGCCGAGACCAAATAATGCAAGTGAAAATTACCTTCCTGGCCATTACCGCCTCTAGTAAAGTGTTTATTGTGAGCAGCTCTTAAGTTATCTTTAAGGTGGGTAGAGTAAATATCTTCCAGCAACGTTCCTCTTCTCCAGAAAAAGATATAATATCATGATTATTGTGTAGTTTTTTGTATACTTAATTTTTGCAGTTTTGCAACAGCTTAGTTGTAGGTGGTTCTCTTTTTTCCCTGGCTTCTGAATCAATTTGACCAAGGCATCAGCCATTGTAAATGGTATGCTTTTAACAAATAACTGCCTAATTTAAGTGATTGAAAGCATTTATTACATTGAAATGAAGTTGGTGGGATAACCCATTGCGGTGTATTTATTTTTTCCACTTAATTGTATCTCATAAAATGGATATAAAAGCCTATAATCCAACCCAATGCCATTATGTAATGCCAGTTTGGAGATTTGGAGCACCCGCAGCAATGCGCAAGGTGCGCTAAAAGCCTTCCTCTGGACGAGATCTTGGCTGCGGTGACAGCAGTGTTAGGTTGGGTCCCTTGATGGAAGCGGGGACTGTGGCGTCCGTGGTGCAGTAGGTGGCGCCCTTTTTTCTTTGAGCCTGCTGCTGCAGCCGATGTTGTGGGACCTTTGGCCACTAGAGGTGCCATTTTTCAAATTATGAACTGACTCTACCTAGTTAGACCTTACTGCCTGTATGCCCAGAAGAGAAAGCCTGAATGAAGCGAGATGTTGTCACTTCCTTGTCATCCTTTGTCTTTAAAATAGCATAAAGGGTTCCCTTTATTCTAATTGTTTTCATTAAGTGACAATACTGTAGTTTTTAAATAGTTGATAATTTTTTTTAAATATTGATTTTCTAAAGGTCACAGAGTATAATTGGACAAACATTGTTAATCTCAAAGTGGTGTAAGTTGAATTGTAACATTTTCTTTCTCCATGTAGGCTGATCAGCTGACCGAAGAACAGATTGCTGGTAAGTTGATGGGTTCAGAAGTCCCCAGTAGGCCAGAAAAGTAGGCAACACTCCATTTCGGTGACTGTCCCGTCTCCCTTAATCTGAACAGTTTTCTGAGAATTTAAATCAATGAAAACAAGCAGAAATATTTAGGTCAGGTGTTACTCTCTGCTGGTATTTTGGAGATAACGTGGAAGGAAGGAGAACAAGAACACCCGTTCGTTATTCTCTGGAGTAGCAGTAGCCGACTCACAGTTTGCAAGGTTTTGCATATAATGAGATTGTACTGAGTCTGCTTTTCAAATGTAGTTTAGAATTTGTATGCCACAGGTATTTTAGTAAACCACCATGAAAGCTTGTGTTTGCTATTCTATAATCAATGGAAAATCAATGGAAATGGGTAAAATGAGTGTTAGGACCATTATAATTGGGGAGTGAGTTGTGTTAGTTTAGATTTTAGCTCTTAATAGTCCCTAGAGGACTTTTTTGAGGTGGTTTCTCCTTAGGAAACCAGG